CGCGATTATCATCTAGTTCTACTTGTATAAGTCAGAATATTTTGAAACTGAAATAATTACAGAATTCGTGATTACTCAGTTGCGAAAATGACAATGAATTATTTAATATGGAACTGATTATTTAGGCGTTTATACAATTGAGATGACAACTCTAACTCTCCTCATTGTTTTTTATTCAATGTTTCCTAACTCTTCAATCTGGGGTAACAAGAACATCTCTAATCGACCGCTTTGCAGAGCTCTTCGCACTTCACCCTTACTGTTCGCCTATTGTAGCTATTCAGATACGTGCACTTTTGAGTAACAAAAAAAATAAAATCTTAATAAAAGGTTATTTAGCTGCAAAAAAGGTAACAAAAAACCCAGGAATAGGATCTGATGTTGGTAACACACATTTCATTTTTTCCTAGGCCCAACATCTTCGTTTTACTTTTATCCGAATACCCCTTCAGAAATTTTAAACTCTAGATACTGTCGTTATCAGTCAACAAAACTCACAGATTAGTTCATTCCTTGGAAGTTCATATTCTAAAATGCGCTTGTGCGATAATGTGCATTACAAAAATTATACGAATCTATCGATTGGAAAAGGCCGATGATTTTTCCCTGTAAAATGGAAATTACGCACTACATTCTGTCATCATTAACAAAACCCGATCCACGTTTGATTGAAAGTAATTGTACAAATCTGGTACCAGACAAACCGCTTTTAAAAAACAAAAAAACAAAACTAGTTTATGGTTATTTCTCATTAATTTCACTTATCAAAACAAATATGTACTTTTATCAGTTTTCCCGTTTCTTTCAAATCATCTTTCATTTCCGGGCGTTTCACTGTAGTCAATGAAAGACACGTTTTATCAGTCTTCTTTTACGCGGGAATATCAAAATTTCCATCTTTCAAAACGCGATGAACCAAAGCTCGCAGGGTACCAAAGGCGCACGATGCAGTCCCGGTGTTTTGTGAGCCCCCGTTAAAAATATTGAACGCCAAAACTATCAAGTGTTGGTACAACGAGAGGCAGCTAGTTTCTGTACCTAAAGGTCAGTGCATGGACAGGCTATCGAAAGAAAATAAAAGGGATACTTGTCCAATGGATAGCAGGCCTAACTACGCAAATAAATGTCACATTACATCCTTGTCTGCGAGGTTAGTACTAAATTTACTCTTTAGAACACATTACACAACTCAATCGGCAACACTTTGCAAGTAGAATTGGCTATCAGTGTGGGCAATTTATATTTCTAAGGCACGCCCGTCGCACAAAGACTTAACGCGCGGGGGTTTTTAGTCAACGACTGACATAAGAGTTTCCTCACAGTCGACCCAGTTAGAGTGCGATAATGTACGCGTGAACTTTGTCTACAACTGGCAATAGGCTGAATAAGAGCGAAGCTGACCACTATGAATACACATCGCTCAGGTTTTTAGGTGGATATTTTCTCAAGTACCGGAGATGTTTTTCGCGCATTCTGTTGCGCAGTTTGGCAGTGATATACCGACCATCAGACAGGTAACGCACCGAAAGCCACCATTTTACTCTTCTTCTACCAAACGGTTTTCCTGCAATGGTCTTATAACTGATCCCATTGCCAAAGCCTTGCACGAGCAAGAAACGGTAATCGAGAGTCGAGAATCGAGAATCGATATTGTACTCGGGACAGGAAAAGGCCGTCGTCGAAGGAACAACTGATGCAATGCAAGAGCTTCAAGCTGCTGAGAATCACCAATTCTGAATTACAACGAGTTAAGAAACTCCTGAGAAGCGTCCAAATTATAAAGAAACTTTGGAGGCCAGTCATCCACGGTGATTGTCGCGCCACGCATAAAGTAGAATAAATTTGTTGGCCTGGTCTTGTCTTTGCCACAAATCCCGTAAAACTATAAAGAAATTGCCACTATGAACTCTGAAAAATGAAACTTCAATAATACTATGGTTCACGACTGATTCTGAGGTAAAGGTATACCTTCACCTCAGAATCTTGGGCGCGCCGTCTGTAAGCTCTGAGGGAGGGTAAAGTCCCATAATTTGGCCTATTTCAAAAACAAATGACACTACAAAAAGAACCTACAACTATAATTTGGACAATGACCGACATTTCGAAAGAGGGACTACCATCACCTCAAAATCTTGGGCGCGCCGCCTGTAAGCTCTGAGGGAGAGGGTAGCCCCATAATTTGGCCTAGTAAAAAACAAATGACAGCACAAAGATGACCTACAATAATAATTTCGATAATGACCGACATTTCAAAAGAGAGACTACCATCACCTCAGAAACTTGGGCGCAACGTCTGTAAGCTCTGAGGGAGAGGGCAGCCCCATAATTAATTTGGCCTATTTCAAAAACAAATGACAGTACAAAGATGACCTACAATAATAATTTCGATAATGACCGACATTTCAAAAGAGAGACTACTATCACCTCAGAATCTTGGGCGCGCCGCCTGTAAGCTCTAAGGGAGAGGGTGACCCCATAATTAATTTCGTCTATTTCAAAAACAAATGACACTACAAAAATAACCTACAATAATAATTTGGATAAATGACCGACATTGTAAAAGAGAGACTACCATCACCTCAGAATCTTGGGCGCACCGCCTGTAAGCTCTGAGGGGGAGGGAAGCCCCACAACTTGCCCTTTTTCAAAAACCAATGACAATACAAAGATGACCTACAATTATAATTTGGATAATGACCGACATTTTAAAAGAGAGACTACCATCACCTCAGAATCTTGGGCGCGCCACCTGTAAGCTCTGAGGGAGAGGGAAGCCCCATAATTTGGCCTATTTCAAAAACAAATGACACTGCAAAAATACCGTGCAAAAATAATTTGGATTATGACCAACATTTTAAAAGAAAGACTACCTTCACCTCAGAATCTTGGGCGCGCCTGTAAGCTCTGAGGGAGAGGGTATCCCCATAATTTGGCCTATTAAGTACAAAACAAGTAACAATAAAAAGATAACCTGTAATAATAATTTTTGGATTATGATTGACATTTCAAGGAGACCAAAATGACTGAAATAGAAACCATATGTATCTGTGACGTTGATTATACAGATCGCCCAAGCGAACACGAAGTTGTTGAAGTGGAAGAATCAGAAGAGTATCTGGGGTAATCCAGCGTCTTAGGCTACTGCCAGCGAATAAAATTTTGGCGGGATTTCGACAGTGCTCGGCGGGCTTTTTGGAGAGTGATTTGTCACTGAAGGCACATCGACACTTACATCGTCTTAAGCCAGAGAAAAAAGACTTGAATCCTTCGCCGTTTGATCAAAAAGGTCGTCCATTGAATCAGATGATCTGCCTTGCTGTTCCTCAAGGGGATATTAAAGCCTGGTTTCCATATGATCGTCCGGATCGTCCCGATCGCCCCAGTCGTTTCAAAATATTTCGAGACAATCCGAACGACTGGGGCGATTGGCAGTTTCCATATGATCGTCTCGATCGCCTCAAAGGCAAGAGACGTGGGGTCGCCAGCGATGTCTCTGGTTCAGACAGAATTATTGCGCGTGTTTTGCAAACAAGCCACATAAATGGGTGATTTTTTATTCGTAAAGCGAACCTCGTACCTTGGTATCTGCTTTTGCTCTTGATTTTGCGGCATTGAGAAGCTAGAAGAGTTCCTCGAAGACATAGTATCTCTTCGAAAACTTAATGTCACGGACTTTCTCTAATGATGACTTCTGGGATAGCCTTCGATCGTCCCGGTCGTCTCAGTCGTCTGAGAGCGTTTCCATATGATCGCTTCAAAATTTACATGATCGTCCGGATAGAACTCAACTCTATCCAAGCGATCGAGGTCGTCTCATTCGTCCGGGTCGATGGCGATCGTCTGGGTAGCGTTTCCATATGATCGTCCCGATCGTCTGAACATTTTTTGAGACGACTGGGACGATCGGGACGATCCGGACGATCATATGGAAACCAGGCTTAAGTAGAGCCCGAGCTCTCGCATTCGTTTATACTGGCGACTATAAAATGTGCATTGTTGACGGCCTTTCTCAAACGTTCAAATAGAGAAGATTTAAAAATTTCTTTGGTCAGGGTCTTTTCCACGCAAAGTTCCTGCCAAACTGGAGAAAGATGTGCCAGCAGAGAGTGTATTCCTCCTTGTGGCTCCTCAGTAAAAACTTGATACGCCGACTCGCCGTTTTCGCTTCGAAGGTCACCAACGTTGACGCAGCATACTACTCTTGAAAGAAGTTAAATAAGCCATCGGAGCACTATTTTCTTAAAAGAAAGCACTTGAAAAACCATTGAAAGCGTATCAAGCCTATTTGAATCCAAATGCGGCGAGAAAACTGTAGTTATCAATTGCGAAACCAGACGCGAAGATCGACTTATAATACCCAAATAGTGTGATCAAATTTCGCGTTTCCTTGAGATGTCTGGTTCGTTTTTAAAATCAGAAGTACAAAGTTCCTTGATGTCCGGCGCTCTCTAAAAGGTGTCTGGAGGAATGCTTTTCTAATTACGAAAGTAACGCTTGTCTGTCATTGGAAACCAATCTGCGGTGGTTGCTGTGGAGATTAGGCCTCCTCGGGCGCGCATTAAAATCGGGGCTCTGGCCTGTTATGTGTAATACTCGACAAAAACGGACAAGTTGCAAGAAATTTCCTTAATATAACAGGGCTTTGCTTTATGCTGGTTACATCATCATTTTGTTTTAATATTCTCAGCGATAAGCCATTACCGAAGTTTAGCTTTTAATTTCCTAACTTTCATCAATTGGCCGCCAAACTGACTTTAAACTACTGACAACATGTCTGAGAAAGCAAACATTTTTGTCTTAATTCGTATGAAATTTCTCTATCAGGTAACGGTTTTTTCTATTTCATTTGCTGATAAACTCTAGCATCAACTCATCTAATTTGTATTAGAGTAGCTATAATCAGGGGTGTTTTAACAAGTTGACATTGATATCAGTTAACGACAATTATACCCTTACAAATACCCAGGCATTCACGGTCTGATGCCATTAAAGGATTGTAAAATTGATAACGAGTGAGAGTGAGTATTGATTCAAAAAGGTGAATGCTAAAACTTTCCGCCTGGAAGCTATGGTGAGGCACCTTGTTACGCAAACAGTTATGCTCTTGTTATAAAGCTCCGTCTGACTTATAGAAAATGAATTCACCCTAGTGGTATGATATCTACTAACGTATTCTTGGAACACTTGCAGAATGGATTACATTGACACAACAGAAAAACTTCTGAAGTCTTTGAATGGCTTGCTGTCCGCATTAACTCGGCAGATAAACTGTGGAGAAGACACGTTCCTCCACCAAGCTTCTCAATTTGTACAATTCGCCATCACCACATTGGAAAAACAGGACCCCACGTTGAAGAAACAGATAAATAAGGGAATAGACTTTATCGTTTCTTCGATTGCTTCATTGGTTACAAAAGTTGTATCTTCGGGGGCAATTTATAATGCCACTGTCTTTGTCAGTCAGGAGATAGGTGAATTTTTTAACGATGGTTCTATACCTAAAATCATGCGCAACAAATATGATGAGCTTGTACGCCGTCTCGCCACTGCGCTGGAGAGGAAGAGAAACATCGAGTATTTGTGTAGCAAGCTACTGGATGAGGTAAGAACTACCTGTAAATAAAAAGGAACCTGTCCTAGTGGTGGATCTTGAATAGGAGCTTCCCAACATGCAGCCCACTCTGCTTTCACACACTAGTGACACTAGGGCATCAATGATATGACCAAAATTAAACTGAAGGTGTCACCCGCTTGCAGGATCTACCTTTAAGTTATTTATATGGCAGTTTAATACGTGTGGATGCCCAGTATTAGTAAAAAAAATCACCAACCCCCGCGCCGTGAAGCATTTCTTATGTAAAAAAAATATTAATTGAAATATTAAGAATTTTATATCATAGTCGTAAGCTGGCTCTTGTAAAATATTAAAATGTTGAGATAAATAAAAATGTTTCCGTTAATTTGTCCTTAAATTTTGTCCACCATTCTACATAGCTTAAGATCCATGGTAAAAACATACTTAAAGTTTAAATTCAACAAAAATTTCAATATACAGTAATAATTTTTTTTCCTAAAAAAACGCTTTCGCAATAATCATCTTTGTTTAAGCAAGAATTTTGAAAATAGCGCAATGTTTAGTGTACTCGATATAACAGATCTCTGCATTCTTTGTAAGATGGTGGCTCTCTTTTCTCCAACAAGTTCCTTTACTGTTTGACTCACTGACTGACTAAATATCCATCCCAGAATATCAAGAACGATGTTGTACCATATCAAACTTTGCCTATTGTTCAGGTTGCATTTTTGGAAGACAATCAGACAGTGCTTTCGTTTCTTTTGTACATGTTTCACTTGGTAGCCAGGATTTCTCTCCCTCAATTGCCACATTAGTGGACTATATTTCTGTGCCTTCTCCTTCTCTTTCACTATCTCACCAAGGACAGCTCGTTTCAATGGCTAATACTCGTCTCTGCATTTTGTCGAATATTCTGGCGTTTATTCTGTTGGCCCTCATCACCTCAATGCTGTCTGCATAAACCGTTACATCCCATAATGCTTGCGCACGTCCATTCTCATACGACGGTTGGGTTGGGTCTTTGAATACCATGGAGATACTTCAGGTCCTTCAGCATATCAAAGAACAGAGTTTTAAGAGTTGCGTTATGCCTCGCGAGTAGCAGGCGCTTGGAAGTAGTGGGCGAAAAAGAGAACGGGCGCGCGAGAGGGGGACATACGAGGGGTGAGGGAGCGCCTGCACTGAAGGCCCCCGAAAATCGTTTCCCGCCCCCAACCTAATTACCCGGCAGCCGTTGCGTGATTTGACAGAAAACGACTGACCTTGCACAAACAAAGCGTGCCGCCAAAAAGCGTTGTACATTTTATCTTCGGTCTAAATATATCTGTTATAAAGATCAGCTGGGTTATCCGATAATAGAGCGATGGAGCAATAAACTGATGGCACATAGCTTTAAATCGTTTTTAACCACGGGCACAATAAATAGGAAATAACAAAGTCAAAACTGGGTATCTTTTAAAGAATGCATGCTGTGTATTATAAAAAATTAAAAATATTGTTCTCTGAGCTTACTTAGCCACAACTGTACAGACAACAACGATCACAGCGTACGTGGAAAATGACCATATTTACTGCGGTAAATGGCAGCCATTTTTAGAGCAGACATGTCTTACTAAGTGGACCTAAGCTTGAGAACACAAACTGTACCGACACGTTTTCTACTGCAGTAATGAGACATAAACAACAGACCTCAGTTCGCCTCCGAACGGCGAATAATACAGTAGTCTGAATAGTGAAACGTTTTTTCAAATTCATGCCCCTGGTAAGTGTTACATTTCATCAATCATGTCCAAGTTTTGAACACAGCATTGTTGAACGTATTCTAGTATTTAAACGGTAGATATAGGCTTATTTTTATCCCCTAAACATTTTTTATCTGTTCGGATTTCCTTGCTGAAAGTCTAGTGATCCTAAAATTATAGGGATCAAAACTTACGTTTCCAAAAATTTCATCCAGAAAAAAGGCTCCCGAAAATTCTAGGTGACCTTTTTAGGGTAAAAATCCGTTAAGGTGTTTCGATATAGTTGTTCAGAGGCCATACTGGTATTTTTCAATCGCTTTAAAACTGATTTTATTCTTGTCTGGTCGCTATAAAATTTTCAACAATGATTGACTATAGATTGAAATTTGTCAAAATGTGGGTTTTATTAAAATCGATATTATTATGACAACGATAAACAAAAAACTTTGAAATTGATAAACGCCTAATTTTGCGCGATCTAGACCAGCTACTGAAAATCCAACACTTGAAACTTAAAGATTGATGTTTAGCAAATAACCTCCGTGAGTAGTAAAAAATTCTGTATGTTTGAATTCGACTAAAACAAAAATATGTATCACACCTTAAATTTTCAATAACCGTGATAGATTGTTTAAAAAAAAACGTTATAAATGATTCCAATTATTCTTAAGTAGCGTCAGAATGCTTCTTAATATCATACTTCGATACTAGGAAATTTTGGTGTATTTTCGTTCTTGCGATCTTAAAAACTAAGACGTTTTCTCATCACCTGTCAAAGTACAACTTCATTCAAAATTTGGACTTTTAGCGCTTTTTTGTATATCTCTGAAACGACTCGAACGATTTTTTTTTAAAATCTCTTCACATAATCTTCATAATGTATATAATAATTTCTGAAACTTTCATTGATTGATTCACTGTAACACCTTGAACCTATCCTACGAATCGGTCAAAAATCTGCGTTACAACAGTCACTGTTTTGACGTTATGCTAATTTTTCCAAATTAATGCGGACAATACATATATCCATGACTAGTACATTTCAGTGTGAGTATTGTCAATGTTTTACATGTAAAAGATGCGATAAATTCAAACTAAAATGTACTAGTCATGGAGGTATGTATAGTGCGCATTATTTTGAAAAAATTAGCATAACGTCAAAACAGTGAACGTTGTGACGCAGATTTTTGACCGGTAAGTAGGATAGGTTTGTCTTAAAATTTCAAGGTGTTGCAGTGAATCAATCTTAATGAAAGTTTCAGACATTATTATATACGTTATGAAAGGTTATGTGATGAGATTTTAAATAATTCGTTCGAGTTGTTTCAGAGATATACAAAAAAGCGCTAAAAGTCCAAATTTTGAATGAAGTTGCACTTATTGCTGGTTTTCAGTGTCACGTTATTCTAAATAGATCAAAATAAAAATCAAACCGTTCATTACATAAAGTCCAGAATCTGGTAAATGAAAGGAGGTACATATACAAAGACCCTCGCCAAGATTCAGGTCAGAGGAATCTTTCGTATACGAGATATCCGAAGAAATGTTTTACCCAAACTTATAGAGATTTGTATAGAGACGCCATGCTGGTGCTCACCTGGATGAGCTCCAACATGGCGGACGGAAACCAACAGAAACATCTGTTACCGAGTTTTGCTACAAAAGCGTGAAAACCAACAATACAGGTGGTGAGAAAACGGGTTAGTTTTCAAGATCGCAAGAACGAAAACACACCAAAAGTGGCAATGTTTGCAGATGACACTAAAGTATACAAGGTAGTGATGTCTGAGGATGATGGCGCCGCTCTCCAACAAAATCTGGATAATCGGTCTTCGTGGTCTGCTGCCTCTGGCCTAGCCTTCAATGATAAGAAATGCAAGCTTCAGACCATTACGAGGAAGTGCAAGCCCATCTGTACGAGCTACGAGGTTAACGGCAGTACCATCAAGTCCTGTGAGGTAGAGCGTGACCTTGGCGTCTCCTTGGACTGTGACTTGACTTGGCACGCCCAAGTCTCTCACCAAGCTGCACGTGCAAACAAGTTGTTAGGTTTCGTTAGGAGGAACTCTAGGTTTATTCACAGTACTTCCGTAAGGCGCACATTATACCTCGGGCTAGTTCGTGCTCATCTTGGCTACGCAACCCAGGTCTGGGCGCCCCAAGGCATTGAACTAATTTCTAAACTCGAAAGTATCTAAAGACGTGCCTCCAAATTCATTCTTTGCTTGCCTTTTTTAACAAATATCTCTTACAAAGAAAGACTAATGTCTGTAAACCTACTTCCTGTGTGCTACTGGCACGAGTTACTAGATCTAGTATACTTTTACAAGGCTACGCATAACATGATTCACTTAGATCCGTCTCTTGTTCCCTTCGTGCGCGAATGCGGGCGAAGGACCCGTATATCCGTGACGAGCTCTCAATCTTTTGTGCCTAAAAAATGCAGGACTTCTACCTTTCAGAAATCTTTTCTCATTAGAACCACTAGAATCTGGAACCTGCTTATTACTAGACTTTACCTAGATAATGTTACTTTTGAGAACTTTAAATCTGTTCTTTACGGTTATTACTCGCGGGCTCTAGCAATAAACTATGACCCGGACTCTCCTAGGAGCTTCAAAAGTATTTGCCTGAAATGTAACACAGCCAGGTTTTTAGACCAGGAAATTAGCTGCTGCATGAGATTTAAATTGCGACTTTTATATCTTTTTATTTTTTGGGTCCGCAGTAATTGGCTCTAGCTGTTGCGGTGTCCCTGCTATAATATTTTGTTTGCATATCTACAGTGTTTTTTTGTTGTTGTTGTTATTGTTGTTGTTGTTTTGCATTCTTCAGGGCAAAGCTGATAAAAATAAAAATAAAATAAAATAAAATTTCCTAGCATCAAAATATGATATTAGGGAGTTTAAGCAACTCGCTACAGCGACCTCTACTGTGCTCCCTGACCCCTCGTATGTCTCCCTCGCTCGTGCCCATTCTCTCTTTCGCCCACTACTGCCAAGCGCCTGCTACGCAGGCTACCTCGCGAGATACTTAGTCTGAGCGAGTGTCCCACACCCCGCCAATACTAGTGCAGCACACTTTCGGGCGATTTACCATACATTCGGCACATGATATTGAAGTTCCACTCCCTTTTCCAGTTCTCCTTTTATTGTATAAATTGGTTGGTAACGTCTGTTGGTACAGTTCCTGCATGGCTGCTACGGTATGGGCTAGCACCGATCTCCAGCTATTCATCCATGCAAAACACCCTCCACTGTCAAGGGCCGAGTACTCCCATCTATTGTTAGTCAGTTTGACTTGCAATTTCCTTTCTCTTAGTGTGTCACAAATGCAATACGCTTTCTGTTGGGTCTTGGCTAGAGTGCCGTCACCATCCTCTGTAGTAACCCTTGAATAAGGATTCTGTTCGTGTTAAGTGTAGCTCTAAGGCATACTTTTCAGCATCTTTGATGATTGAGTGACACCCGGCCTGCACTGCCTTCTCGTCAAACTTCCTCACGGCGCTCATGGTAGTATCTGAGTTCTCAAATAGCTTTAGAGAAGCTTTGATCTTTGTGCTTTTATACGCCGCTTCAACTGATCGAAGGCCTCTTCACCGATCTTTCTTGAAATGTAGAGTTGTGCCACCGATCTCAGGGGGCAATTTCCACACCATTCTCTGCGGTAACTTTACGCGCTTCTCTATCCAACTGCTATAAGTCGGCATGTCTGAGTGACCGTGTCCAAGTCCACATGAAATTCGTTAGAATTGGTAAGGAACTGGTTCGACGCAGCAACTCTGTGGTAGTCTGACAGCGGGCTAGACCAGATAATAGATAGCCTTTGAAAGTACACCTTCCCTATATTTTTTCAAGAACCGTTCTGTCTTCTTGTTTTACATTTTCCAATACTCTCAAAAACTTGTAAGAACCCCCACAGGCAGCCCAAACTCTGTGGGAGTTCGTTGGACTTTGAATTTTTAAGAGAATGTATCCTAAATTCCATTTTTTGACGAAAATAGAAATAAAAATTACATATATTGTGTTTGTGTTTTGTTATTTACTGTCTCTTCGCCTCTAGAGTCATTCGGAAGCCGTTTTAACGACGTTTAAGATTTTGAGTTGTACTAACAGTAAGAAAAATGGGAAGGCTGGGGACTCTGAAGCCGACCGTTCCAGATCAAAGCTCCATAAATCCCATAAAAATGGTCCAAACTCGCCAAAATTGCCTTCAAAGGATCTGTCGATAAATTGTCTTTCGCTTCCATGCTTTTGGAGTCTCAGATTTCATCACAGCCGCTAGCGAAGCGCTTGATTTTAAACTTTTTCCATCAGAGTTTTCTTTCTCGGGATGCGTATGACCGGGCACTTGGACGTGACGTAATTAACGGTCGCTGAAAGCTTACGTCACAGCGACAATTTGCCGTCTGGGGGAGGGCAAAGTGCATCGCAAGTGTCATTGCGAGTAGCACGGTGGAAGGGTCCCTGGGTCCATTTGACCGTGACAAAGCGCGCCAAAACATCACACGAGCTCCCGGCTATTTACACACAACCGAGCGACAGAACAGTCACCTTCGCTTATGGTCGGCCATTTGTTTCAAAATTATGACACGATCTACGTGCGGTTTTTTCCCACGTATACTTGCAATCATTCCCGCTACACGATATACGTGCGTTTTTTTGCCACGTATACTTGCGTTCTTTCCTGCTTTGTGGGGTTTGCGTGACCATTTTCTTACAAACGCGTATATATATGCGTTACAAACAAGCAGGTGTATATGGGGCCACAGAAAGTCGTCGTATAAGCGGCACAGAATTATACCGTAAGCAAAAAAACCCTTCATGTACGATGGAGCTGAAAAGTAACTACAGTTTGAATCAAGCATAGCCGCATGGCCGAGTAAATTTCGAGCAAGGTTTGGTTCTCATTCATTGCCCTCGCAGTAGTGGTTGTTGTTGGCTCCCCGACAACGGATTTGTTGGAATCCGTGGATTGTCTCTTGAGAGACTAGTACGCTATTTCACGAATGCTGACCGAAACAACGATCGATTCAGTTAGAAATAGCCCTTCTGCGGAAATTATTCGACATTAGATTCTCATACAATCACTGTAATTTCTCACGCGTTTGCCTACTCGTCAAGATGGCGTCGAAAACCGTGACACGGTCTGTTAGCGTCCGACAGGCAAACCACGACTCATAAGCTCGTGATAATGTGAAACATGACCTTGAGAGTTTTAGGGTTTCGGTTTTTCTTCTTTTCTCTCTCTCGCGCGAATTATCACCTTTTCTCACCTCCACGAAATCTTTCTAAGCTTCCTAGTCTCGTAGCGTTTTATTCTTTCCCTCCATTCACTCTATAAATCCATGTTTCTTTTTTTTGTATTCTCACTCTTTAATAGCCTTCCACCTGCCTCTCTTTCCTTGCTCCTCCACTTTAATTGTGATTTTCATGGTTGTCTAACTCGTCCTCGTTCAACTTGCATAAGATGTCCCTCAGGTATCAATTTGCTATTAGTTCTCAAGCCCCGATTATTTGGCCAAGGATATCCCACTGATATCCCCTTGACTGTCCGTAACAGCCTTACCACCACTGACTAAACTAAAAGTAACTAAAACTTTACTTTTAAAGCCTGAATTGAATTAGCGCAGGATTATCATAGTTTATTGTTAGTTTATTTGTCACTAGTACTTCTAGTTTTATCTCTGCTATAGGACTGCTTGCATTACTTAATTTATGTTTTGTATCTTGTTTTAGTTTTGTAATTTAGCCTTCAGTCTTCATTTCTACGTAAAATAATTCCTGTCATTTTGACCGCAGGTCGTATAAGCCCCCGGCTTTGGCTTTACTGCGTTTGGTACTATAAGAACGATGGAATAATAAAGTTAAAGTTAAAGTTACTAACACTACAGAGAATTACATGCATACTGAGTAATCGTTTCCTGTGGTTTATGGTTTTTTAGGTGTTCCCGATAGGAGTTGACCTCAGATGCAGTTGTAAAGTGTTTTAATTTTCTTTGACCTCTGTTTAAGCCTAAAGCTTTAACTTAGTATTACGGCTAAATAAAGATTTTAGTTTCTATGGTTTTCTCCGTACATCCATGATCTGCGGAATTACTACATGTATGCCTGTAAGTTTCTTTGTCCGCAAATGTGATTATACCCTGCTATGCCCGGGGGGAGGGTACTCCCTATGATGACCTATACGGGGAGGCTCCGCCCGAAATCCGGAGAGGTAATCAACAAATATTTGTACGGAGAGGCTCCGCCCCGAGGTCCAACCCCTTACCCGTCGAGAAAGCGTTCTATATTTGTGACTGATTCCTATTTTATGACAGTGCGCGTTTCCAGCAGTTAAAAGGGATACAAAGTTCTAAGCAAGGTATGTGAAAGGAGTACCATTTGTCAATAGAAGGTATCCGAAATCATGAAAAATGGTATATAAAAGGTTAAGGGGGGCCTCCGCCGTATAAAAATTTGTTTAGTCACGTTATATAAGTGCCCGGTCATACGCATCCCGAGAAAGAAAACTCTGATTGAAAAAGTTTAAAATCAAGTGCTTCGCTAGCGCTTGTGATGAAATCTGAGACACCAAAAGCATAGAAGCGAAATACAATTTATCGACAGATCCTTTGACGGCAATTTTGGCGAGTTTGGACCATTTTATGGGATATATGGAACTTCGAGCTGGAACGGTTGGCTTCAGAATCCCCATGTTAGTACAACTGAAAATCTTAAACGTCGATAAAACGGCTACCAAACGGCTCTAGAGGCGAAGAGACGGTAAATAACAAACACAAGGTAAGTCATTTTTATTTCTCTTTTTGTCAAAATATGGAATTTAGGACGTGTTTTGTTTATTTTCATAAGTTCTCTTATAAATTCAAAGTCCAACGAACTCCCACAGAGTTTGGGCTGCCTGTAAAACCACCTTCTTCCAAACTACCAATTTATTTTAACATTGTGATTATTATTATTATTATTACTATTATTATTATTATTATTATTATTATTATTATTATTATTATAAGCAAGCGAATATTAACGTTAAAAGCCGACGTTTCGGTATCATCATGACACCATTCTCAAGGCAAAATGGATAAGTAATGCGAAGATTTGAGTTCTGTAGTCTCTACAAATTAGCATAATAACAAAGGATCACAAGTTCTTCAAGTGAATACCTTTGCGCTAATCGAGACCGCTTGCACGTTTAGGGATGGTTTAAGTTTTCTTATAAAGAGCATCTCCTTAATTAGGCAATCAAATTTGTTAGAACCTTTAGTGAGCACGTGAAATTGTTCTGAAAGAAAAGGTGGTACGTCCGAGTTATGTTCGCTAAGATAATATTATTATTATTGTTATTATTATTATTATTATTATTATTATTATTAATATTATCATAATAATAATCATTATCATCATTGTTAAATTATTATACTACAGGTAGTGACAGCGTGCAAGAGTTATTGTTGCAGTTACCGTACTGTTCGATGTTTGGAGGCCGACTGCATCGAGATTTCGGTCAAAATCAGAGACTGTGAACAACCTGTATTGATCGCACGCGAATTGCTAGAGGAGTTGGGTGAAATGGCAAAGAGAGAGGCGGTTAAGCATGGTTTTAAATTTAGTGCTGCGGGATTAGCTACAATCGGTAAGATTAATTTTAAATTAAAGATTTTCGTGCTCGTGATTTTGCAACGGACACTTCCGACTTAAGTGCGCGAATTAGCGACCGGGGCGCTGAAATTAAATTCTCCCAGTGAGACGAGAATCAGCGAGCAAGGGGGGCTAAACTAATTTTTTTTTTTTGCTTACTGTAAAATTGACCTGTATCAAGCGGTCACCTTTTCCGTGAGTCCCAGCTAGTTATTTATTATTTATTGCCCTCACCTCTATTAAACGGACACTTTTTAAAGACGTGTCTTTACAAATTCATTAAGATACACTGAGTATTGCACTCACCGGTCTTTTACTCCCTTTCGTTTGGCACAAGAAGAGGTTGAAAAGTACAAAGACGTCAATTTGTCTTGTTATAGATATTTTGATCCAACTGGATCTACTACCGCTTACCTATGACCGCGTTTCTATTTTTTTGTGTGTAAGTCGCGGGCATAATCGACGATCCCGGTGATAAAAATCACTTGGAAGCGCCTGTTGTAAATCAGTTATTTATCAGTCCTCCTTTTTTAATCGCAGTATTAAATTATGGAACTTAATTTGTTAATTAATTCAACCCGTGACTTTCTCAGCATCAAGGCTTTTAAGAACAGAATCAGAATAAATAAATTGTACAATTAAGAAATGGAAAACGTGCAGCGTGCAACCATCGAGTTATGGATGCACGGGGGAGGTTGGTAAGCACGAAAGAAGCGTAAGAGTCGCCTTGTGCAACTCTAGCTTCTTGAGTGCTTAGCAAACCTCCCAAGTGCATCCATAACTCCATGGTTGCTCAGCTACAACGTTTGTCGGGACAAACGAAACTGTCCGTATAAAGCGGGTGTCCGTAGAGCGGGATTCCACTGTATGGCGAAACAGGACAAAAAAGCCCAAAAGCAAAGTCCACGTTTGACTACGATTGTTTGGAGATTTGGCTGCAGACCTTTTTGTAAAAATAACACATGCGCCTTGATTGTAGCCGCAGCAAAATTGATCGCCCTGCATCTCTTTTTCGGCACCGTGCCTTGATTACCCCCTCAGGGATTTCGCCCAGAAGGCGAAATTCCGAGGAGGCACTTTAGTAACTCGCGCGTATATTATGGAAAGTACTTACAGTTGAAATATACAGTCATACAGTCAATATAGAGAAAATCTCGATTTGCTTGAACAGGGGTCGCGAGGAATCGGAAGGTAATGAGGACGTTTCTATTGTTTGCGCCCGCAAGTACGAAATGGTTAGGATGACGTAAAAACAGAACATCCCCAAGGGACCGCTTAGGTAGATTTTGGGACATTTATTGTACAGTCATACTTCGACACTCTTTTGCTTTACGTGTTATCTATGACATTCTGTGGAGCAGTTGTTTCAGTGAAAGTTATAGACCAAAATTTTAACGACACTCGTTAAGCGCAGAAGAAGTTATAAGGTGCGTATAACTGTGTATATATAAACACTTGGAGAGTTTGCAAGACACGAGTTCACAAATCTTTCATTGGAAACCTTGCCAGACACTCTTTCTCTATCTTTGACCGGAATAGGACTCAGCCCCAAACAAGCAAGACGAGTGAACAACGGCTAGCTTCTCACTAGCAGAACGATGGACGATTACAGAAATTCGCCGACAAACAAATTCTGTGCTGACTTATTCCCTACTCACAGATGTCCTTCCGCTTTAAAGTTTAAAATAAGACTAGAATGCGCGAGTGTGAAAATCAAACGTCCTTTTAATTTCTAAGGCTTCCTTTCCGGCAAATAAGATGAACTGAATGTAAAAAGTGAAGGAGAAATAGCGAAAAAATTCAACTTCTAATTACATCTTTTCTTATGGTTTAGAATAAACTATTCTCGAAACTGAGAATGTTTTGATCAAAGACGTGTGTAAATCGACCTGAAACTGTGCATGGAACCTTGCGTTTCCTGTATCTATCTCACCTATTGTATGGAATATGTCTGAAAATCTTCCTTATGAATCGGTATATTTCAAAGAGCTACACAACGAGCAAGAATGCTATTGACCGACAATATACAGAGCGGGGGCAGCTGTATTGTCAACTATTACTAGTTTAGAAGTGCTGAGACTACCCCCGCAAGGTAGTCTCAACACCCCTTAGAAGTTAGAGCACCAGTGCCAAACTAATTTTAGTACGGATGCGTTTATACGTCGGTCATTGTGAGTGCAGTGCCCAAAAATTGCCAACATGGTACCAAAAATTTGGGCTGACGTGCCGATTTTTTTCTGGGCGTGTAAATGGGTTTTGTTACGTTGAAATCGGAAAGTCTGGGCGGCCGGCCGGCTGGCTACGTATTTTTCACCCTAACGACATGAATTTCCGCCTCTTAATCATAACATGTTGCATGACGTAAAAAAGAAAACCAAAATAAGGTTCCCGAAGTAATTCTTGTGCTGTCTCATTCAATAGCGTTTGGTTATGGTGCGTTACAAGCAGGAAACACTCTGAGAGGGGTTATCTATGGTGCCGCCGCTGTAAGCTCTGGAGTGCTCTGCTACAATATGGCAAAGAAACTAGGTGGCTTCAAACACGTTTGGGACGAGGTGAATACAAAGCGCACCCAGTACCGAGAAATACACATGGGGCTGGAGAGCCTAAAAGAAATGGTTGGAAGAGAACTAAAGGAAGGTATTCACCTCATCGGAACACCCGACTTCTCCTTGCTGTTTATTTTGGTAATATTGGTCGCCTTTTGCGCAATAATGTATGCTTTTTTTACCAGGGTTCGTACAGAGTCTTATTGAAATCTTGAAAAGGTCTTGAAATTTGCAAAGCAATTTTTCAGACCTGGCAAAAGTCTGGAAAAATTGTAAACAGTTTGGAAACTTTTTTCCAAGCTACAATGAGTGCTTAATAAGTGGATTTTTCCCCCTTGCTCAAATCCCATTGAATCTTCCCCGTAACCAAGACATTCAATCGCAGAATGAGAAATTTTAGAACTCTCGTATTTCCGCATTGCATCGTGCATGGTTACTGTTCCGTAGCGGTACATCATCAAAAAAAAGCTTGGTTCTTGCGCTTTTCAAGGTACGTATCTGTTGCATGATAACCTATTTGGTAAGATAAGATTCAAGATATATTTATTATATCACTTCAGGATATCTCAAATGATCAAAAATAAAACTACCGTATTTACAAAATCATTTATAATCACGTGATGAAAATTAAAAGAATTTAATATTGTAATAAGCTAAAAGTAAGGTATAAGAATATATACAAAAAGAAAAAGCAATAAAAATTAAAACAAGATATTTGCAACATTGCGATTAGCTAATAACATGTAATAAATAATTCACGTGTTCACTTTTGTCTCCAATTCTATTAAAGATTTGTTCCGATAGTTCCCAGAAACCATTTGAATCAGGTTTCGATGATTTAAAACAATCGAGACCGGCCTTGAGGCGTTGATAATTGCTAAACTTCGAACTCCTAATGGTAGCTGGTTGCAATATTTGATAACTCTGTTACTAAAGAAGTCATGCGCTGATCTTAAAGAATGATGCAAAATGACTGGAGGATTGCGAGTTTGGTAAGCTGAATTTTTCCTGAACATATTTTGGCCATAATCTACTAAGCCGCTCATGATTTTCGACACAGTTGACCATGAGATCCTTTTATCAAAATTAAGCAATTACGGCATATATGGTAACGCGCACCAATGGTTTAAGTCATATTTAGAGAGTCGTACTCAAATGTGCTCCATCAACGGATCGCTCTCTCAAAGCTGTTTATTAAGTTGTGGTGTTCCCCAGGGGACGATTCTAGGTCCACTACTATTTCTGTTATACATCAACGATCTTCCAAACTGTCTTTCAAATTGTGAGCCGAGGATGTACGCTGATGACACCCACCTTACATACGCAGGTGATAATGCAGACAATATTCAGTTGCATCTAAATCAATCTCACAGAGTCCCCGACATTTGCAATTAATGATTTTCAAGTTAGCCAGGTCACTACTGCAAAATCACTTGGAGTGACCATCGATGACAGACTTGATTGGAGTGGCCATATCGAGAAAGTAACAAAGAAAGTTGCTTCTGGTATTGGGGCCATAAAACAAATCAGGCACCTTGTCCCTCAGGCGACCTTACAACTAATATATCAAGCTTTAATACAGCCACACTTTGATTATTGCAACATTGTTTGGGGAAACTGTGGGATAACCTTATGAAATAAGGTTCAAAGCTACAAAACAGAGCAGCCCGTGTTTTGACCTACTCAAGCTATGACGTAGATACTGGAAAAACCAAGCGTTTTGAAAAATCATTTCGACAGAGTTATTACATCTGGAATGTCTAATACTTACATAAGCACTGATTTGGTTTTCTGGTCACTATAAAAATGCGGTGACATAACGTTTGCCAGAAAGAATTGTAATAGTTCTGATGCCAGTGAATGGTGAGGGTCTCAAAAGAGGATAAAGCAGTCAACGAATATAAAGTCTATATTTTGGTGAAGTGAAAAGTTAGATCTCCCTTAATGATTCCCTTAACAAAATTGGTAAAGAATGCGGATTTTTCCCGCTCTCTGGTTGTATGCCTATTCATTAATAGACGTTATGACCTATAATTCGCAATAATATGTATTATTAGTATATACACACTCAGTGATCTTGGTGATTTAAGCAATCTGATTGGTTCGCTATCTTGGACTATTCAACAATATTCACCTCCTAGCGAGTGGATAATGTGTGAGCTCGGTGTTTTTCCCATTTTTTAGAGAACGATCTTTTAATAGTCGACAAAATCCTAGGGCTGACTTTTTTTAAGGCAAGAAAAGACTTGGAAGGATTCAATACGGCGTTTTTCAATTTACTGTAGCTGAGTTTTATGCTCGATGGATTGTTTACAACTCCCGTGTATTCGTGTAGAAGAAGCCGTTCCGTGAACTCAGCGTCTTCTAACAAGAAAATTTTGGCTCAAAAATCGAAGTTTATTTATGACAAACAAATTTGAAAGGAAATGTTTGCAGAAATTCTACGTTTCAAGTAAACAGGAAAAAGGATGATACAGCAAGACGACGTCTTACGTGGAGCAACCGAGCTGCCATTGTTGTCAGCACTTTATGCGAAGAACGACACAACAAACCCTTTTGGCTTAAAACTTGGCGAGTCAACAGAAAACAACAAAGTTCTACTTTTCTTCTCAGGTAAGGAAACAGTTCAAACTTTTAGCGGTTCCATTTAAGCCATTACGCTGTTGTTTGCGAAACCGGATAAACTTGTGAATTGCCATGTTTGAAAATTCTGCAAAGATCTATTTTTAAACTTACGCGTGATTTGATCTGTCAATCAAATCGTGCTTTTTAATGGTTTCCTCTCTGATTTTGTTGAGATCACTTCGTGTGTATATACTAAAACAATTATTCTTTTCAATCTCGTTGAATAGTGGCTTTGGGAATATTTATCTCGCCGCTTTCGCGGCTCCGCAAATATTTAGCAACTGTTCACCTCGATTTCAAAGAATAATTGTTAATTATTCTTTAAAATATTTCTCCGTTTCTGATTGGCTAAAATCACACGCATAAACTGCTACTGTCGACCAAATTTGGAAGAATTTTACCATATTGAGCCGATGACGTCAAAAGTGCAGCAAAGATGCAGATTATTGAACCGTTAACTGAGATAACCTGGGGACCAGTTTAAGTTTTTTCAAAGTGAGGTGAGTAATGGCGGAACTTTTTACTCGTTTCTCGTTTCACGTTTCAAGTATTGTCTAAAAACATAGCAAGAAGACAACTCGACGGACGACATCTGCTATTAGGAGTACATTTGCATTAACATCGATCGACGGAGGTTAAAGCATGTTTTAGCTTGTTTTTAAACGGATGTTACTAAAACGGGAAGCAGGGAACGAGCACGGGGAGCAAGAAAATGAAAAAATGAAACCTAGCTCTATCAGTAACTTCAGTTCCCAGTTTTAGTAACATCCGTTTTTTAGACTTAGAATTATTTTGAATGAATAATAATTAAAAGCAATTATTAAATTCGGATTTCGTAGGATAAGGCGAATTCTGTAGATCGAGGAGGGTGTTATCCTCTTGGGCCTTCAGCCTTGGTAGATACCACCTTCGTCGATCTGCAGAATTCTTCATATCCTACTCAGCCTATCTTTATCTGTTTTTCTGTTATTACATATGGATATTTTTATTAAGAGACACCATTCTACTTCACTTCTGCAGGCTTTGTGAATCGTATCAGCTTTGTCCCATCTCAGAGCTTTACATGATGCTGTCCGGGAAACTTTTCTCGAGGTGACCAATAACAAAATATTAACAACCTCAAAAACAAAACACTAACAGCGGTGATAAACATTGTGAGAATGAATACAAAAGGCAACAGCTAGTAAAGTTTATAAAAATGCGAAAGCTCACAGTATTTATCACCGCTATTTGTGTTTTATTTGTGATCAAACTACGATGCCCCAAGAACATAAGTCTCTATTAACAACCTCGTTCCCAGGTTCTCTCTTCGTAGGAGAGAACCCTGGGAACGAGGTTGAAAAATAAACTGCCAAGCGGCACCGAAACCAGCTTCAGGCCCGCACTGATTTCAAATAACTGTCACTTGTGCTAGACAGAAAATTGGGTAGGGACGGAAAAAGACCCTCCAGGGTAGGCTTTGATAGGTTGTGCTAGCATAATTTTTGGCATAGTTCGTCAATACGAACAAAATTTTTATCTATTTTCAGAAAAAGCACTGCTAGCAATATTTGCACTTTTTGCTAGTTTTTAAGCACAAAATTTTATTTATTTATTGATCATGCAACCAATTTTTGGACCTGAGATCAGTGTAACAGGAAAATTTAAGTAACAAAATCAATTTTTGTTTGCTTATTGTCACTTTCATGGGACCTGGGTTCTACAGGAAATGAGCCAGTGCCGGGTTGTTCAAAGCTGGTGCGAACTTTAAATTGAGATATGAAAACTTTTAAACAGCAAATTCACTTTAATTCTTTTTGCCTACAATGTAATGATTTGCTGCTCTATAAAGAATAGAGAAAATTATCCGAGAAAATGCTTTTGAAGAAACCCAGATTAAAATTCAATCCCGGGTTAGCATTAATCGACTATCGCACAACGGGGCCCTGGCGCCCGTTTATAGAAAGTCCCGGTAACTTTTCGGGCCCGAAATCAAATATTCAAATCGAAATAAAAAGAATAAGCTAGAGCACGGGTCCTGGCTAGCAAACTACTCCATTTTGTTTCATTAACTGATGGTTTGCACTCCAGGAGCTGATTATCGGCTCCTGTGCACTCTTAAAATTTCTAGATGTAAATGGGATAATGATGTTTGCCATTTACTTGTTTGTTGCATAGTTATTGACAGAGGTCTTTTCACCAAATTTAAGGCAAAAAGTAGAAGCATGATTTCTGCAATTATTTGCTAAAATGAACGTAATTATTGTTATAATTTTAGAAATATACGAGCACTGCTAGTAGCATATTATGCTACTTTTGCGAGCTACATAACCAAGAAAAGATGGAACATAAGCAAACATTATAATAAACAGGCTGAGACAGGGGAAAGTTGAGAGAAATGTTTGCTAACCCGGTTTCATAAATCCCAGATAGAGATATTTCTGTAAATTTGGGATCTTCCTAATAAACCTGATGAAGAATGGTATTGACCAGTCGAAATATCGTAACCACAGTATTTTCACGTTGTTTGATCAGTCCTTACAGTTCTCCTCAGTGACAAAAACTTATTCTTAATAATAATAATAATAATAATAATAATAATAATAATAATAATAATAATAATAATAATAATAATAACAATAACAATAATAAAGTGGACATGGTGGAACCCCGTTAATACGGTCACCAATGGGCCAAAAAGAAAATGGCCGTAACAACGACGTGACCGTAAGGTGGGGTTCCACTGTAAAAATAATAATAATAATATTAATAGTAATAGTAATATTAATAATAATAACAATACTGATAACAAATTAAAAACAGCCACGTCATCACTATATCGTAATGTTCCCAAAGTAACGATTCCCAGAATTCGATAGTCCTTAGCTTGCAAATCTCAAAAGTACCAACTCCGAGGAAGTTATGACTCTCCGCAAGTAGTTATTTCAGTCTTTTGAACAAGAGATGACAGAAATGATAAATTTAAAAGCTATAAGTTAAGGAAAACCAATAATTAAAATTAGAATTGGAATTCTCTTTCAATTACATAACTCATTCAGTGCATTCACCATTTTCACATAGACCACAATGCATGCGTCTTGTTTACCCCCCCCCCCCT